CAAATACAACAGCTATTAATGAAAGATCTTTATAGTCCTGACATGGGATTGAAACTCTCAGAAGTTCTGCTGCTACATCCTCTGTCGTTGCTTCTTTCCTCTGTCCTAGGCCCAAAGTCTAGAGTGTAAGACCTTGAGAAGCAGGATCTCAGCTGGTTCAGGAGGTTTATTGAGGTAATATAAAGGAGTGCTGAATCTTGCCCTGCCTGCCCCCAACTATGCTTCTTAACAAGACAAGGAAGAACCAATGGAAAAGTCAAGAACTGGTATCTTGGGAAATATGTGTGGGCTAGTCTTCATATATTAACAGGGTCTGATTTCTTCCAAACATTCAGGGGAGTTATCTCCACAAGCCCCTTGCCCCTAAATACTCACGCCTTACCGGCCTCTTATAAGGGTATTCCTGCTATTCTTGATAGCCATAATTGCCATTGTACTAGGGTTTTGCCATAAGGAGCAGTCCGCACAATTCTCTAGGAACCACTAAAGTCCACTTATAAAGCCACATTGCTGAGACTCATACTTGGGATCTATTTAACCCCCTCAAAGACCTATATTACAGAGCCCTCCAAAATACCTAAACAAAGAGAAAAAAATGCACTCGTTATCTACAGCAATGCCCGTCTTCGAAGTATAGGAGGTAAGCAAAACTGTGCTTACATCTTAATTATTATTATCATGATTTGCCTGTGTCAGAGATATAAAGTATCTTAATGTGTAGCTAGGATGTTCCTCAGTTTTGTTTTTCTGGAATGTCTGCAGCAAATTTCAGATCAAGGCCCAATATACATGGAATGTGGCTCAAGCATAAGTTCGGCCTGGTAGAAATGTATACAGACTCTTCATGAGGCATTATTTTTTCCACTCTTGATATAGCATAGAGAATTTGTAACCAAAACCATAGTCAGAGCACTAAAAAAACAGTAACTGTTTATAAACCAGTCCATGAATATTCATTCTAATCACTATATAGTAATCAATTAGTATACACAGCAAGAACAATATGAAATCTGAGGCTACAGATTGCAGAACTGAATAAATCATCATTTTTAAATGACATAACTAAAGATAATATATTTTCCTTTCTGGATGAAAATCCATTTTATATTCCCTGGTGGAATACATATAAATAAGAAATACACAAAAGGCGAAAATTGGACCTAAATGTCCGTTCCTACATATACAGGTCAAGAAAAGCATTACTCACATAATGGACATTCATTGCCTTGTTTGCTTAAGACTGAAAAACAAATACAAATGTGAGTTTGCCAAATTTCCTAATTTTTTTTACAGTGCAGTGGGCCTTTAAAAAATACACAATAATGCAATAATCTAATACTACTACAAAGGTTTAACGATTTTTCTGGTTATTTCCCAAGTTTACCTTGCATACTATCAAGTGGTATATATCTAATGTGTTTGGGTGGTTTGAATTGTAAGTGTGACGGGTCAACTAATTGTGGCCAAAAGCAAAATGCCAATCAGGATGAAAAGCTTCTAAAAACAAACTCAACCAAAAATGTAAAATAGAGTCACCATAGTGATGTTAATTTAAAATGACCACTGATGAAACATTTCTTATAATCCATGTCAGACATGCCCTGTATCTTTTTCAGAACTGCTTTAAGTCATTCATTACTTCACCCTTTTAGGTTTTGATATCTCTAAAGAGAGAACACCTAAAAACAATGGTGGCAGTGTGAACAAAACTTAGATTCGATGCTCGCCAAGCTGCACGTGTGTGTGTATACACGTGCGTGCGTGTGCGTGCAGGCACACACGCCGATCCCACTCTAGACCTAAAATGGCTGAGTTGCAGGATGTTGTTGCTTGGTGACCAAACAGTATCTCCTCAGCCACAGAGTAATTTAAACAGTGACAGATCTGTCCCCTCAGCTTTAGGCATGGCCAGGACAAATAGTAAAGGGCATGTTTATCTTTTCCAGTATTCTACATTTTCATTTTAAGTCAGTGGTCACTTGCTTGATTTTATCACCAATTTAGATTTTAGGGGAAAGCATCTGCAAAGCTACAGCTATCCTTTTAGGAAAATAAGAGGTAGAAACAAGCTTCTTTCAAACTGAAAGATAGTCCTGTTTCAGTTAAGTCTGTGTGCTGTGTCCACTCGGTTCTGCTACGACCTCCCAGCTGCTATCAGTCTCCCTTTCATTAAACACCAGCAGTTAATTAGCCTCAGCCTGTCCTCTTCCCTTCTCTGTCCCTTTTCAAGGTAGTAATGATGTCTAATGACCAGCAGCAGCGGGTTACTGCAACACCAGGCACAAATCTCTCTTCCTGAGAGCAGAGCCAGCCGCAAACCCTCAAACCTCAGAGAGTGAGAACAGATTCTCAGTCCACCTGAAAAGAACACAGTCCTTTATTTCAGCCAAGATATGCCTTGGAATTAAAAATGGGTTTTGTTTTGTTTTGTTTTGTTTTTTTGGTCTTTCTGCCGATTGTACTCCCGCTATTACAAAGAAAAACTTACTTATAAGGAAGAAATAATTTGAGATGCGGAGAAACACATGATAAAAAGGGAACCTTTTATTTATTTTTTAACTTGTTGAAATGATGATTGGCTGTCCTTCAGGGAAGGCGGAGCCTATAATTCTATGTAAGGAGCAGCATAAAATTTTCATAAAGAGAAATAGAGGAGTTCATGAATTAAAAACCTCTTCAACATTTCCAAACAGGCTTGAATGAAGAGCAAATCTCTTAAATACTACATGGAAACCACTGTCTAAGAATATCACCCAATGAATTACATTTTCTCCCATAAATATATGGAATCTTTATTGAATTGAAAAGGGAAAGATATGTTACTTTATTATTAACACTGTAGTTGTTATTCTACATTAGATGTCTTAGCAATAATTCTTTAACAACTCTGCATAAATTTTTCAATGAAAATATGAGTATCTGAACATGTGAAGTCTGGTTTGAATTACTAGGCATTCATATTTCTCTTAGTGTCTCTACGGCTGTTACACAATTTATGTTAAGAATTTTTAATTAATGTTTTAAAGGGACACATCTGTTTATACACATAGTGGAGGTAACCAAACCCATGTAAGCATAAACTGGACCAATACACAAGTGAAGCTATCTGACAGATAAACAGAGGAAACGTGATTTTCATATAAAAGGAATGAAAAACAAACTTCCCACCAAGCAATTGCTTTGAAAAACATATAAAATATTATCTAATACTACTTAGGCCAATAAACCTTAATTATTTTATTTATTCAGTTAGCACACTGGTGCCCAAAGGAAAATACATCCTTATGTTCTGAATTCTAAATCTACTTTGTCTAACAAGTCATTTTTAAAAATCAGGATAAGTTACTTCCCGTACAAATGAATCAAAGCACTTCATTCCCCACAACAGACTTCTGACTCATCCAGATGTAAATAAACCTCAGTTCTAATCCAAACACATCTAGGCATCTAGTCCTCATTATTTAGTAAAGCAAGACAGTAATCTCACCATTGTCTTTAGCAATGCCACATTAAAAGAGAAGGCTGTGTTTATAGGTCTACCTCCTAGAAAATTCCAACAATTGTACTTAAAAAAAAAAAGCAGAACTTTTATGTGTGTTTCTATTTCATCTTTATTTCCTTTTCTCATTTTCCAAATAAACTCCAAATACACACACACACACACATATACACACATACATATACATATATATATACTTCTTTCAAGAGATATCCCTAATTAATCTGGGAAACCATTAACTATTTTCCAAACCTGAAAGAGTCCTCCAAATAGTCCTCTGAAAAACCTTTCATGCACATATTTCCAATTTAATATACCTCCGTTGGAGAGAGAATAATAGCTTGCAAGATATCTCCTTTTCTAGCATCCTCCAGGAATACTGCACGGGCAAACAGTTGTCAGTAAGGGGTTGGCGTGGGAGGAGGTTAGGAAAACGAGCAAATGCTCAAGAAACCCCAAAGCCAAGCAAAAATGCAAAGGATGCCAAACGCCCTCCCCCACCCCTACTCCAGGCGAGTACCCACCGTAGCATGACGAAGAAAGAGGTCTTATGGATCTGATCTGCAATCCTACTTGTAGCCCACAGTTCCCATCTTCTTAAAAAGGGAATTGATGCTGCCACCGCCTCCCAACCTCACGGGCTTCTGCCCTGAGAGGCTGAGATACACTAGGTTCTCAGTGCCCAGTACCTTGCTGCTCCTCGGCTTGGAGCTTTGTGGCCATGAGACTTAGAGCTATCCCAGAACGAGGAACAAATATATACACCATTTGATTGCGTCCAAACCCATGTCTCTTTGTTGTTCATCATGTAGCTGCGGCTTTATTTGTGTAAGGGGGAAGTGAGGAAGGGGATGGGGGGCGGGGAGGAGGAATTTCCAGGACCTTATCTACAATCTAAACAGTCGTGGCAAGATCTCTGGGAGTGATCAAGGCGATGGGATAGCCCGGTGTCTCCCAGGCGGCGGTCTAACAATAAAACCTGATAGTGTCGGGGCGGGGGGTGGGGGGGAACCCCACATCTCCGACTAGCGCCACAATCGGGCTTTGTGCCAATTAGGAGACACTGTAGACGATCGATCAGAATCGTCTATTATCAGAGCGTGCGTCTGGGGTTCCAGCGTGGCCTTTATGCTTGGTGGCGAAAGCGGGACACGCGCCAGGCGCCCAGCGAAGGACATGGGACAATGGCCCAACCCGAGGACGCGGGAGGCCGCCCGACGCGGGGATGGAAGCTCCAGGAGCGGGTTCAGGAACCCGGAGGCGAGGAGGGCGGCGAGCTCTGGAGGTGCGCTGCCGCTTTAAAATAAAGGACCACAAAGACTCCACCGCGGGGGAAACGCGCCTGGCTAGTGCGAGTGGGGACAACTTGGGGAGGGGGTTGAGAAAGGGGGGGGGCACACGAGCCAACGGTGGCTCACGGCTCCCCCTTTCTCCCCCCTCTCTCTCCCCTCCCCACCGGCTGCTCCCGCAGACAAATAACAGAGGAAGGCGAGTCACTCACCGTGGTCTTGACCGGCACGTAAAGCACTTGCTTGGCGCAGCCGCCGCCCCCGCGGACCTCGTCCGGCTGGCCCAGCTGGAAGCCCTTCGATTTGACCCAGAATTTAAATTTGGCGTTGTCCGTGGAGCTCGACTCGGAGCCGTTGAGGAGCTGGACGATCCGCTCGTATTTTTTACGGGTCACCGTCTTGGTCTTGCCTGAGTCCCCGTAAGTCCTGAGGCACCAGTCCTGGAACTGACGGTACATGTCGCGCTCGCTCTCCATGTTCCCCGCTCCCGGCCGTCGGCCGGATGCTCCCAGCGCACTTCGCACCTGTTCACCCGGGGCTCATGAAAAATGCAGCCCCGGCCACGATGTAGGGACGCGAGGTCCCGGCCGCCGCCGGAGCCTGCCTTGGGTGGGGGGGGGGGGGGTGGATGGAGAGGGGAGGAGGGTCCGGCTGGGCACCAGCAATCAATGCCCTGTGCTACCAAGTCTCTGGTTCATTCGTAATTGCAACGCTTGTCTCGGACGCTTGTCTCGTCCTCTTAGTGATGGGTCTCTTTAATATTGTGTGACTAGGACCATCCCAACAGCATCTGGCCCAGAGGAGCTGGGTTTTAAATAATTAAAATCCCATTCCTTGGTTTATTAAAAATCCCAATATTGACTTGAGGGTGGTCCCTGGACGCCTCGCCCCGGGGCTGTGTCCTGGGCAGGGCAGGTGCAGCGCTGCGCCGCCTCCCCGCGCGCGCGCCCCAGAAGCTTCCCCGGCCGCTGGCCCCACCGTCCAGGAAGCGAGGGTTGAGCTTGTCTCGAAAGCAGCCGCCAGGCCGAGTGCATGCGAGCCCCGAAGGGCACTCGGGTCCCCTGACTCTCCTTCCTCCAGGGTCCCGTTCCGCTTCGGCTTTCCCTGCGTGGGGCGTTCAGGGACTAGAAAGAGAGAAAGTTCTTACCTGTCATGTTGTTAAGCCTATCAAATCCTGCTACACGGGAAATTTTTAAGGTATTTTTAAAATGGTTTAAAATGTCATTTCTTCATATGCATTTAGGCTAAATTCCAGCCCTGCAGGTAGGTTCCAGGAATTAAGTCCCAGAATTAGCAAAACATTCATGGATATTTGGCCATAGTTCTATAGGAGAGACTGTGGTACCCCAAACAGATATCCGTTCCAGGGAGATGTGGGTAAACGAAGGCAGGCCGCTGGCAGCGGGTCTCCCAGATAATGAAGGGGTCCCCAGACAGGACTCCTCTGGTTTCTGCTGAACTGGGTACAAGGCATAGAAGTAAGTTTATAATACAGATGCTTAAAACCCTTTGCATGAAATTAAAATAGAGATTATTTTCCCCTTGCTTGGTTACAGTTTGCAGTACACACAGGAGGTTTCGTATGTCTATTTTCCCCCTGCCACGTCATGGACACCCCTCCACTGCTCAGAGTAGCCAAATATGAGTTCCTCTGGACGATTTTCTCAAGCAAATGAAATCAGCAGCTCCTCCATTCAGGATTTCCATCCGTTTGTTACAGAGCTGGAAACAGGGGAGTTTCCCATCCTCTTCGCGCTGCGATTGCCGCCGCTCCTCTTTATTCTACTCTCTGCGGAGGCCCGCGCCCGTCCCGGGAGGCGGCCGTTCCAGGAAGGCGGCCCGACCAGTGCCCCGCGCCTGGTCCGCGTCCTAGCCCACCTTCGCCCCTCGTCGTCGTCTTCAAGACGAAAGCCCCGAAAGGGGACGCGGAGTATTTGTACCCTCTGCGCCGCAGCTGGTCCCGGCACTTGCAAAATGGTCAGTGGCTCCTGCTCGGCCAGGCTGAGTGTGTGCGTGTGTGCGAGCAAGGGAGCGAGGGTGTTCGGTATGCGGGGGGTGCGCTGTGTGTGCGCGCGTCTCCGGGAAGGTCTCGCGGCGGCTGGAGCCGGGACTGACAGCCCGGGCGGAGCGCGAGCAGCTCCACACACTAAACCTCTCCCCTCTCCCCTCACCCCCACCCCTCCCACTCCCCTCTCCTCCCACCCCCCCCCTCCCCGGCCCCTTCCAAGCTCTCTGATTGGCCAATGGGACAAAAGTTTCTGTGGAGACGGCTGGGCGCTGACGTCACGGGCAGAATTGTCCCATTTAGGGATCCCGGGGGCAGTGCGCATGCTGCAGGCTGCAGGTTAGAGGCAGGAGGAGGTAGCAGCGGGCGCGGCGGCAGCCAGGTGGCGGAAAGGAGCACTCAGCATCCAGGTGGGGGGACGACTCCAGCAGGGTTTCCATGGAGATTCCTCTGGGTCTAGCCTAAAAACAGCAGATCAGCTGACACCATTAGCTCAGGACCTAATTACTGCTTATTGGAGCAACAAATGAGGGAGAGGGCCAGCTGCAAAGGAAGAGTTTTTATCCTCCCCCCCACCCCCACCCCGTCTCCTCCTTTTTCCCCTCTCGGTCGCTCTTGAGTCCCGGGTGAATTCTCATTAACTTGCAAGATTACTGCAACAACAGCCACCCTTCTCTAGAGGCCACCCGGACTGCTTTTATTCTTTTTATTTCTTTCTTTTGTATGGAAAAAAAAAAAA